AATATCAATCTTTCTATAAAATGCTTTAATGGTAAATTAAACTTTGGCTCAAGGTACTATTATATTTTATATGCCATTAAATCCTGATTTTTTATTATATATCAATTGGTGAGATTCCCAATAAAAAGGAACATTATTTTAATGAAATTATTACACTGTCTTTCTTCATTATTTATTCACAAATGTAAAGATATTTAAAGCCTAAAATATTTAACAATTTGCCTAAATCTACCTAAGCCAACCAATTGTTTTTTTTTTTTTTCAGCCTTTGATAACATGTCTTCAGTTAACTTTATATGTCTAAGTATTTTATTATTGGGATTATTGATTACAAATATCAAGTACTATTGTCAACTCCTTAATCAAAGAGAACAGCTGGATAGCGTTATTAACTTCTGTATCTATATACGTTACCAGTTTGACAAAAATAAATAAATTAGTCATTTTAAAGATAAAAAGATTGGAATAACTGGGATTTTGCACTGAAGTGATAAGACTATCTTAAAATACAACCTCTGTATGATAAGTTTCCTGTTTCCAGGTATTATACAAAATTCTGTATGTGTCCAAAGAACATATACCACGAAAACAAACAAACAAAAAGGTCCTTTTTTACACTACAAAGTGCATTGTGTGTGTAAAATGTTTTATTATACACCTTACTATCATCTCTTATTTTTTCAAATTGTATAACACATAGAAAGAAAATCCAGTTTCCAGCGTCTATGGGTCTGATCCAAACCCCAATGAAGTCAATAGGAGTCCTTCTACTTACTTGAGTGAGATTTCAATTAGACAATATATAAATACTTTGAAGTCTCAGAGCAAACTACCTCAACTACATGTGTGTGTGTGTGTGGGTTGGGGGGTGGGGATGAAGTGTGTGTATATATGAATACCCAGATACACATTCATAAACACACACATAATTATCATTAAATAAGTATTATATTGTTAGCAAGCAGTACAAGTGAAAATAATTTTGCCTTCCAGACAAGGCTTAACTTGTTTTAAAAGCTTTCATATACCACCATATATATTTAAACACATATTTGCTGTTAAAGTTAATATGCAAGAAAGGAACATTTTTCTTATTCTGATCAGAGATGCAACAATCAAGTCATAAAACACAAAACCAATAGCCAATCAATGTGAATAAATCTGCCCTTGGGCTTAATTCAAGCAAGCCATTCACTGAGCTAATGTGATGGATCTGTCAAATCCGATACAGCATTACAGACATACTAGCAACATCAAGTGAACATGCAATGACAAAATGACGATACGCCCCACTGCCATGCTTTGACTGGTTCTACCTCATGAAAATAAAATTTGATAGCTTTGCCAGTTTTCTTTAAGTCAGACTTAGATTTAAGCCTTACTAGCATCTATATTTTAAGTACTTTTTAAAATGTAACCTAAAAATCAAATAAAATCTGTACTTAAAATTAACATATCTGTTTTAATTTATTTTGTATACCTTTAAAATTGTTTTCCTTTAATCAGCCTCTCAGGTTTAAGAGCTTAGAGGTCAAAGTTCAAGAGTGATACAAAACATATATAGACCTAAATACTACGTGCCCCCGCCCCCCTCTTATCAGTTGGAAGGGAAAGGAATTTCTGAGAAACATTTTAAACTAGACTGTTAAAAATGTGAAGGTTTTGATCAAATTCCTCAAAAAGCTCAAAGCTTTAAGTTTAATTTAATAAAGTGATAGACTGCATAGAGAAAACATGTAGCTCCGCTTCCTTCCTGAAGTTGTAAAATGATTTCTTACTATATTGCTTTATAAATAAAGCCGACTTTTCTCTTTTTACAGGTTTGATAAGTGAGTGGAGAAATCTATAAGGCCTATTTCAGTTTTGATTGAAATTGACTGTCATTACATATGTATGCTTTCTTCTGTTAAAAACTACTTAATTTTTTTACAAGGTTCATCATCTTTCCTTGCCACCTTAGTCTCTTTCTCCATATTTGTTGTTCATTGCCTATATCCAGCAATCTTTCCAAGTGTGACAAACAAGGATACTATTATGTTTCCTCACAACAGTTCTACAGCACCAATGATTATCCAATGACTTGAGGTATTGACTCTGGATTCCCAAATCTTTCTGTTCACCTCCTGTTTTTCTATTAACAAAATATGCATCCAATCCAAACAGTTACTCTTTCCATCTCCTCACTTAAGACAGTGTGTCAAGATAGGGACCTTGTCACTCATCATGTATATGATCTGTGACCCAAACAGTACTTTTTTTTTCAAGTAGTCTTTCCATGCTAGAGCACTGCATCACAGTATATGCTTGGTGGCATTCAGTGTTTGCCTGGGCATTGTATTAACATATACAATAAATATATCTGGCTGAGAATGGGGACTCATATCCACTACAAAAATGAACATTGTGTGACCAAATGTGTAATACTCATATGTAGCACAAGACAGCAAGTGATGGTTACATGTAGAAGAAAGGATACTAGTGGTTGTCCTGTATTTCAGCATTTGCATGTAGTATTAGAGATTAACTCAATTTTTGCCAAATTCTAATTTGCAAAATGCTTAGGGAATGAGGACTCTAAAAAAACCCCCTCATTTTCTGACAAAAAACTCACATCCTTTAATGAAAATTCAGTGAAAAGTTAATAAAATGAACAAATAAATTTGTAATTGACTGTAATTTGAGGTATCCGTGTTTGCATATAGTTTCATATATGCAACAAAGTTTTTGCAGGATTTCTTTTTTAAAACTAGTTTTAGGATTCCCCAATAGAGAAAAGTAAGCAAAATTATATCTTTGTAATTAACCCAAAAAACTTTATTCAATTGGGGGTAAACACATTTAACTGAGAAGCCAAATTTAAAAAAATCAAAAGAAATTAATCAATTTCAGATACCTGTAATTATGCAGCAGGCTCAAGTTATTTCAATTCTAATTATATACAAAGAGTATATTTGAAAATTCAGTATGCTAGAGATATTTTTCATATAAAATAATTAAGGGTTGTAACTACTGCATTACTATAGATACCATCTCAATCTTCTTTTACAGAATTTAATCATACTATATCTTTTCCTTTATTAAGTTTTTTTTCCAATGTCATGATTATTTTTATTAGTCAGGTTGACTCACTTTCTCTCTCGCCAACCATTATCAATATAGCAGAATAGGTAAAAATCTTATATTTTACCTTATGGTATCTGATTTTTCCGTTTGTTTTATAAGTAGGTTCATTAGTTGGTAATTAAAGCATTTAGGCTTCATCTTGATATTGTTCACTTCCCCTAAGTACTATATAAATCTACAACCTTTCATTATAGCAACAAGCAAACCCTTTTAACTGACAAAGAGAGATCTGAACAATATCTGGCAAAAAAAGGACTAGCAATAGGTGATTATTTATGATTTTGCCTTTTTGGTTTTAAAAACTTTTTAGGATCGGGAACTAGTTTTGCATTTGAAGCTCACAAAAAATACCGTAGCTGCAACATGCTAACAACACACCTTTGTGGAAATGAAATGAAAACTACTGAGTAGCACTCCATATGGTAGGTTACCCTGCATAGAAAGAGTACATCACGAACAAGGTGCAAACAGCAATATCTGATTGACATTACTGATCCGGAATTCATATAAAGAAACTTGCTTACCTGTCTCACACAGCATGCCTCAGCCACACATGCAAATTGTTTTTATTCACCAAACTTTTTTTAATATATCTTATTACCAGAATAAGCATTTTTAATGGCAATTATGCATGCATAGCATTTTAACATTCACACTGTGTTCCATTTTTCTCAGAAAACACAATCCATTAACAGCACTTCATTCTAAGAAATCCTTCGCTATTTCTTATTCTGTTGTTTTCTTTAAGGAACAGAAACATAAAGAACCAATAATAATGACCATTTTAGCACCTAATACAAGTCTAAATTTATACTCAAGTTGCAAGAAAATTTCTCACTGATTTCAATGAAAGATTTTCTTGTCCTAAGTACAGAAATGGGTCCTTTGCTCTTTCTGACACTGTGAAGCAAATTATACACATAGCTATCTTTTACAAAATAGATGCCCCACTTCTATTGTGTGTTGTAAACTCTTAAACCATTTGAAAAGTATCAATGGGTACTGCAGATTTTCCTACAGATACAACTTCTGAAGAATGAATTTCCAGTAAAGAAGTACATTCTTCTTTTTCATTACAAAATTAGGCCCAGATCCTTTTTTATGCACATGCTTAACTTTACACAGTGTTGCAAAAACCTGGCCTTACTGAAGTCAATGGAAGTTTTGCCACCTACTTCAGTGGGGCCAAGATTTCATCCTATGAGCAATCCCATCGACTTTAATGAAACTACTGACACTGCATAAAATTAAGAGTGTGTGTCTGCAGGATTGGGCTACATTGATTTTAAGAAATTCTCCACTTTGTCAGCAGTGTATTTACCCAATTTTGATACCATGATTTAAAAGTTGGGTTTTTGTTTTGTTTTGTTTTTTCAAAAAAAGGGAAGACAAGTAGATTGACTTGTCTTTATATAAACACTCAAATAAATGAAATGTTTGGAAGCCAGCTAACTGGGAGAATCATCATTTGTCTTCGATGGCCTGAACTCCCATTGACTTCAACAGGAGTCAGTGAAAATGGAAGGTACTCAACACCATAGAGGAGCAGGTTCTAAATTAACTGAAAAAGTATTGTTATGACAAATTATGATCTTAAGCAGCAGACCAATATGGAGCTGTACATTTATTTATCTACGCTGTAAAAGGGTCACAGACTATTGTTATCTCATAGTAAAGTGGCTGATCTGCAACCCAGGAAAGTGTGTGTATCTTATGCCTGATACTTAATTAATCATTACCTCTCTATTTATAGCTCTTCATAACAATACAGCCTAACTTTACACACCATAGTCATCTGCAGAGCAACAAAACAGTTACGAGACTTATTTTCCACTTCCTGTATGCTAAGTATTTATTAGCAGTAAATTAGGTCTTACCTGTCACTGTAGGCAGCTGCAGTGGCAGTGGCAGGCTGGGCATACCGGTAGGCAGCATAACCACCCTGAAACACAAACTTACATTCTAATTGCATTGCTACAGCAGTCTAAATTAATATTTTCCAAAATTTACCAGCAATTATTTGGAATGTTCTTTTCATGCTATAAGTCCAATTAAACGGTTGGACTATGTATGAAATATTTCACAAGGTTGTTAAGCAGAGCTGATCACAAACCCAATCAGTTCCTGCATGTTAAGATTTAATTTGACCCAAAGATCAGGCTAATCAATGGACTGCATTCATCAAAAAAGTTTTTGAGAATATTTTTCTTTACGTTTACAGGTAGCAATTTCCCTTACCAATGAGGTGTAGTGCAGGTTAATAAAGCTGTGACAAATCAGTTAAAAGAAAATAAACTACAAAGCTAACAATATTTTTTTAGATTTAATATGATACCTTGCATGTGTTTGATTAAACCAATTAAATTTTTGCTGCATTAAAACTTTTATATAGGTTTCTAATTTGTAAATAAAATCATAACTAAGAAGGAATTTCTTTTCTTTCTCTTGAATTAACATTCAGCTGTACGTAACAGTAATTGCAGCTGTTCAATTAAGCAAACAGACAAACAAACACACACATTTGAAAGGAATTGTGTGCAGTGATGCATTGATTATCAAACTGTGAAAATAGCAGAGCTTCCTGTTCAATGGACCACGGTGTTATATCAACCATTTCAGAATGATCTCAGCATGCCAATTAACAAACAGAGCCCAGTCTCCACAGATAACACAAACACCATTTACGTTCCAATTAGAATCCACCATCCCATAATCCTCTGGGACATGGAACTATTGTGTGTCCCCATAGAATTAAAAAAGAGATGAAAAAGAAAACTAGTTGGATCACTCAGCTTTGAATGACATTTCCCCCTGTTGTTAAAGTGAGTATTTAAATGGAGTGCTCCTATTGTTGAGGGCTCTGTTCACACTAAATATATGTAGAAGTGTGAGGAATGGGCTTCTGTCTGCCAACCCTCATGAAAATAGTAGCATATTTTTAGTGCACTTAATATAGCTTTTTGTATATTGTATTACAAAAAGTGTATTAAGTAGACTACTCTTCATGAAATAACCTGTTTATGAGAAACTTGACAGGGCTTCATTTAGCCCACTGTTCTAGAGATTCTCCACAGGAAATTCCAGCTTATTCCCCACTTCAGGGCTTTTGCTTGATTTAATCCCTCCAACCATAACAGAAATTTTGAGAAACATTTTTTTGAAAGTCAGTCCCACATACAGCTTGGCTGATGATGCCACATCTCCTTAACAGTAAGCACATAAGCTTCTCATCTACACACAGCCAGATAGACACTCTAGGCTTGGAGCTTCACCTATACTTGAGGCACCTCTACATTTCTTATTTCAAACTCTCGTGTCCATCTGTTATGGTGCCTTCTCATAAAATTCAGCCTTGCTGGAGGCACTTATGTCAGGCAACCAATGGGTTTAGACAGATAGCTTGCATAACATTTTAAGTGCCATCTCTTTTGCATGAAGTCCTATCTCTGTGCCAGCTAAGAAGCACTGACATGGAATGCCTCCTTACTTCTGAGCATCTGATAATTTTATGTCAGTAAAAATGGAGGAAAGGAGGACAGCATTCCTATGCACTCTTCTTGGCTACCAACACAAGCTGCAGCTAGGCACATAGAATCTTATTAAAAACTACTTGAGATCTCAAAAAGTATGTGCAAATATTGCCTGCAGGTACCTTGTGTATGGGCAATCAAATGTCAGATAATGGCACCAAGCACAAATTGAGCCACAAAGTAGTGAAGCTGGCAGAGTTCATGACAAAAATTGCAAACTTTCCTCATGCTATGGGCTACCAGAAGAAAGATAGCAAAAGAATGTGCGATGCAAACAAAACAAGAGACTTTCCCTGTTTTTTGACTCCTCAAAACCATCCCAAATCTCAGGCAGTAGACTTAAAGATAAAAATAGATTTAGAATGTTACTCATTTATCTTCAGAATCCAGAGCATAAGAATGTCTGTTGGACTGTAAGTCATTATGCAGTACGATATTATTGAATCAGTCAGTCTTGTATATGGTCCGTATGCTTGTCACTACTGGCACAATCCTGAAAACCCTTACCCAAATGAACAGGTTTCTTGATTTTATTGGGACTGATTATGGTTTTGAAGGATTGAGCACCATGTGTGACTACAGAAGTGTCATTCTCTCAAACATATCCAGATGCGGTAGGCTGATATCACCGGTATGGCCAGATTTAAATATAGGAGTGGTTTAACATTCTGCTTTGTGCTAGTTAAGGAGGTGCCGCCAAAGAACCAAGCTTGACTTCCCTGGGAGGTGTGTTAAGCTACTTTTGACTCAACAATCAGGATTAAATTTGGAAGAAGCCCTGCAGAGACTGAGTTTAAAATGATACAAATAAACATAATTTTGGTCTGAACAGAGTCCTATGTTATTGAAAGGCTTACTAAATGCTCTTGGGAGACTAAAATCTTTGGCATCTGCATTTTGAGACTTGATATGGAAGGGCTTTGAATGGGAAATACCTATCTGAGTGTGTCATATTTGTTTATTTCATCAATTTAAGTGTGCAAACTGTATAATGATCAAAAACACGTCTGTCTCTGTTAGGTCACTCTAAAACCTTTATTGGTCTCATGTTTGTAGGTTAATCAGCATAACTAGAATTTTTTCAAAATTTTAAACAATTTTAACTATTTATTTATTATATGATCAACAGGTGATTTACAAGCAGAAGCCCCAATTCAGCAAAACAATTTGGCACATGCTTATATTTAAGAATGGCAATAGTCCCAAAGAAATAAATTTAAGCATGCACTTAAACACTTTGCTGAATCAGAACCAGAATCTGCCATCCAAATAATTAAACTGCATATTAAGCTATTATGTAATGTTAAAACCACCTAAATGTATCCAAGATATCTGCTATAACATTAAATCTGGTTATGTTTATAGCTTTTCAACTTCATCTATTTCTCAGACACAGGATACTCAATAATATATAATGTACACATTTCTTTAGAACATTAGATTAAATGCACTCTTCTCCTGCTTTAGTCTATAGTGTTATAGAATTTACTGTTGAACATTTTATCCGCCACACTGTATTTTGGGTACATAATACCATTAATATAGGCAATTATTTATTTTATTTATCCAAACTCATAAGCGTTAGGATAGTCTCAAAGCATATGCTCAGAAAAATATCTGGCCAAATTAGCATTTTCGTAGCAAATGCACAATTATTCTGACTTTTATAGAAATATGTTATTACCCCCCTTATTGAATATGCTATAAAAACCTGGAAATATTGGACTAATATGTGTGGAAATTTTATTTATTTTGAAAAACAATCATTTACACAGTTTCCACCTTAAAAGAAACAAAGAAATATATCTACTTATAATTTGTAACACTATTACTGTGTCTATGTTAACATACTTTGGGGAAATCACCTATAGTTTCAGTGCAAGTGGTGAAGCTCCAACAACAGTTGCAACACTGGAAGCCATAGTGTACCCAAGGAAAAGGCATTCATATCACTGTTTGTTTAGGTTATTAAGAGTAATCAGAGAGCCTCTAGGGAATGGGAAAAGACATTAATCAGCAAAGAAAGCTACATTGTGGAGGTCAGCAAATGTATGAATAAAGTGACAACTGCTGAAAGTCAAGCTGAATTAGGTCTGGCCAAGGAAATTCAAATAAGACTAAGGAAGATGAAGTTGGACGGCTATGTAGTGTGGATCGGAAAGAAATTAAAGACAATGTAGGTATGGACCAAAAACTAAATAATTTGCCTCCGTTTTCAGTAAGGATCATATAGAACACATGCATGAAGGCAGTACGGCTGATGGAAATGAGTTTGGAAATGACCACATCTGAAGTAGAAGAAAAAATTAAAGAGCTTAATGCACTCAAATCAGCGGAACCGGATAATTTCTATCCCAGAATATTGAAAGAACTGGCACATGAGATTGCTAGTCCAGTAGCAAGGATTTTTAATAACTATCTATTTGGGGATAGTACTGTCCCATTGGAAAATAGCTAACATCTTACATATATTCAAGAAAGGGAGAAAAAAGAGTGGTCTTGGCAATTGCATACTAATGGGGTCAGACTAATAGGTCTGTAAGGCTTTAGAATGAATTGTGAAGGAAAGAATAATTAAATTAATGGAGGTACATGGTAAAGGGGATGTAATGCAACAGGAGAAGATCATGCCAGACTAACCTGATTTCCTTCTTTGAGAAAATAACTGATCTTTTTTAGATAAGGGAAGCGCAGTAGACCTAATATACTTGGAATTCAGTAAAGCATTTGACACAGTACCACATGAGAAAGTATTAGTTAAATTAGGGAAGATGGGGATCAGCACAAGAATTGTAAGGTTGATAAGGAACTGGATAAAGAAGAGAAGGGTTATGCTGAAAGGTGACTTATTGAACAGGAGCGAAGTCATGAGCAGAGCTCCTCAAGGATCAGTCTTGGGACCAATCTTACTGAATATTTTTATTAATGGCCTTGGCACAAACAGTAGGAATGTGCTAATGAAACTTGCTGATGATACAAATTTGGAAGGCACCGTCAGTACAGAGGAGGATTAGATTTTAATAGAGAAAGACATGGATGACCAGGAAGACTGGAGGTAGAGAAATGAGATGAAATGTAATAGTACAAAGTTCAAGGTCATGCATTTAGGGTCTAATAATAAGAATTTCTGCTAAAAGCTGGGGGGCGGGAGGCTCATCAGTTGGAAGCAACAATGGAGGAGAGAGACCTGGTTGTGTGGGTCGATTTCTGGATGACTATGAGTCACTAATGTGATGCGACAGTGAAAAAGGAAATATGATCCTAGGATGTATCAGGCAAAGCATTTCCAGTAGAGATAGAGAAGTATTAATGCCATTGTAAGAAGGCATTGGTAAGACCTCATTGGGGATACTGTGTACAATTCTGATCAACCATGTTAAAGAAAGATGAATTAAAACTGAAACAGTGCTGAGAAGAGCAACTAGGATGATCACTGGAATGGAGGGACTATCTTAAAAAGAGGAGACTGGAAGAGTTGGGCTTGTTTAGTCTAGCAAAGGAAAACTATAAAATACATTAAGGGAGTAAATACCAGGGATAGTAAAGAGCTATTTAAGCTAAAAGACAACGTTGGCAAAAGAACAAATGGATATAAACTGACCATGAACAAATTCAGGCTGGAAAGTAAAAGGAGATTTCTAACCATCTCACCATTAGTGGGGTGAGATTCTAGAAAAGCCTCTCAAAAGGAGTTGCAGGGGCAAACAACTTAATGAGTTTTAGAAGAGAGCTGGATGAATTCATATTGCAATTGTATGACGGGTTGCTTGTGATAAGGGGCAGGCCTCAACAGCCATTGGGCTCACTTCTGGTTTATGTCTTAGGTTCCCTAAAAGCTCAAGCTTCAGGATTTCAACCAGGCACCTGCAGGGGTCAGCAAGGGATTCCCTAACCCTACCTCCAATTTATTCTGGGTGTTTTTTTTTTTTTTTTTGAATGTCCTTCCTCTGAAACAACAGGGATGGCCACAGCTGGAGATGGGACATCAAACCAGGAGGGCCAGGGCTCTGAGGCGTCTCTCTCTCTCTCTCTCTCTCTCTCAGATGCTTGGCTCGCTGGTTCGTGTTCACATATTCAGAATCTAGATTGGCATATGTGGAGTCAGGAAGGAATTTCCCTCCAGGTCAGATTACAGTGACTTTAAGGGTTTTTCATGTGGGTCCGGGTCACTTGCCAGGATTATCTGGGTCTCTCTCAATTAATCATTTCCCTGCCATTGTGGGGTCCTTTGGCATTGGTGCATCTTGGTCCCTCCCATTCTCTGCCCATGTAACATAATATTTTAGACTCCTGTGGGCTGTAGTACTTTTGTTGGGTTTAGCATGTGGGTGCTGGATGGTGTTGTTGGCCGGTAATATACAGGAGGTCAGACTGGATGAAGTGGTGATCCCTTCTGGTCTTGAATGTTCTGACTATGGCAAAAAATGCTTATGCCCTTTCTACATTAGTGCTCCAACAATTGCTACCACTAGTGAAACTACATCAGTGGTTCCATAACCGCTTGAGATTTCCCTAAAAACATAAATGTAGACAAAGTCAGCATGTGTGATAATGCAGTCCTGACACTGACAAAACTCCCACTGTCACTGGACCTTAAATGGGACATACATGATATTTCAAGAGGGAGGCACAAATTTTAAAATGTCTGCAATTGTGTGGCATAATTAACCCCAACCATAAAATGCAGCTGCTGGTCTATTCCTTTCATTTTGTATATGTAAAATCCCCCATTAATTTGATTGTTAGTATGATTTCACAGCAATCCACATTCAATGTGATGAGTTTTTTTCATCAGTCAGTACTTCATACCTGTGGTAACTTATTGCCATACACAGGCTCTTGATACACTACTCTATAAGGAAACAGAAATGTAACGATTTGAATGCAAAAAAAAAATTAAAATAAATAAAAATGCATAAGTCACACAAATTCCCCAAAGCCATTCATTCACAAGTTTGCTTTCAATATTTTACAAAACATTATGGCACAGAGTAATCAAGAAAGAGGTGAGGGACGGGTAACTGGTCAGTTGCCAAGGAATCTTAGTTATGATTTAAAATGAGCAAGGAACTTGTCAAAAGAAAAAATGGAAAATCAAATACATTTGGGTTACAAAATCAATTATGTACACAAATATATGTAGTCATCTATACACATATTTTATATATACAATTGTGTGTGTGTATATATTTAGAGAGAGAGAGAGAAAGAGAGAGTGCATATAAACCACAGTTTTACTCTCTCCTGATAATACCTTATGGTCTACTTAATTGTTAACTTGGGGCTCAGATAGCACAGTGACAGCTGTTTTTATAAATACAGATTGCCAAACTAGATCTCATGGATGGAAAGATTAATTTTATTCTCAACACTTAGGACTATATCCTACTATGGCACTTTGCATGGAACTCCTATTATTAGAACAATAAAAGTTTGCACAAATGTTGAGGATATGTGAACAATAATTTGCATTTCGATAGTGACTTTCATCCAAGGATCTCCAAGTTTTTCAAATATGAAGTAGTTACATTTCTCGACACTCTCTGGTAACTACTATATATAACCATTTTCAATTAGTAAACTCATTGTGGACATTATGGGCTAAATAATGTCTGCCTTCACTGGGGAGAAGGTGCAAAGAGCCTTCTCTGCCCCATTTCCCCAGTATAGGGCTTGAGCATAATCTTTATCATGCTCAGGGTGCAAAGCTAGAGCAGGAAGAGGTAAAGAGGGGGCATGTCTCTATATCTTCTCCATCTTGTCTCAAACTATGGAACTGCCCCATGTGACAGCTACGTTACCCTCTCCAGTATGGTGTAGCATCAGCCATACTCCCTGTTGCAGGCATTTAGCTGCCTCAGGGGAGCTCCTGCTGTGTGTTGTGCCTGTGTACAGCTCTCTCTAGCATGGGGTATAACTTAAGGCCTATCACGTAGCTGAGGGTCAAATCTATAAAAAGCCACTGGCAGAAAATGGAACGTAACTCAGAAATCCTGATTCACAGTCCTCTGCTCAAACTCACTATGAGACCCTTCCCATCAAATATCACTCATTAAAATGATTATTGCAGCATTCAATTGTTTTAATCTAACATTTACAATGCAAAACATAAGACATGAAAGGACACTGCATCTGTAGATCTAAGATATTTTTTAAAAAGTGGGCATCTATAACTTGGTTGAGTGGATAGAGCACTGAACTGAGAGTGGAGATGCCTGGATTCTATTCCTGGATCTGCCACTATTATTTATTGTGTGCCCTTGGACAAATCATTTAACCAATCTGAAAACTGAAGAAAATAATGCTTACCTACAATTATAAAACACTTTTAAATCTTTGATGGTTGGAAAAATGACTCAGGTCCTACTCTAACAATTAGAACATACTTAATACTGCCAGTGTGACAAATCATTACTTCACATGTAAACTTCAAAATGTTTGGCTCTCATAAGTAAATCCAAAATTATCTAAATGTCTTTAGTGTAGGAAAGTGTTGTACATTAAAATGCTGTTATACATCTGGCTTTATGGAAGCCAGACATAATGCCTTCTATTATAATCAAGAGAACACTGAATGGATGACTATTACACTTCTACAAATTACTCCTGCTCTTTCTTCAAGAAGTAGCTGCAGATATGCATCACACCCCACCACTACCTTAACCATGCCCTTGGAGAGATGGCAATATGGACTGGGAATATAACTTTACCATTCCCATCCTAACAAAAAAAATATGCCAGTTTCTCAGTACAGTGCCTACAACTCCATATACACATTCCCAATTCTATACTTGTGTGAATTTTGTTCTGTGCACCACAACTGATGCAGGTACCTAGCAATGGGTATGGTAAATTTTACTGTGGGCAATAACACTGAGTGAAAGGGTGAGCTTAAGCCATTTCCCTAAGGGACTTCTGAGACCAGGAATGAGGGGGTTTTAAACCTTTTTTTTTTTTTTTTTTTGGCCACAACGCTGCTCTTTTTCACCCTACCTCCACACATTTTAGGGAAGGGTGTGGCACTCAGATGTCCTTGAAGCATTCCCTCAGACAATGGTCCAGTGGGAAGAGTTAAGGGTAAGGGTGGTGAGTTGAAAGCATTATTTTAACTGCATGTTTCTTTGTTTTCTAATGTTTGTTTTTTATTTTGCTGAATGTATTTCCTGATGCTTACAGCTGTCAATTTTCATCTGGGAACATATGTATTCTAGAAGGGTACACAACATCATCAGGCAATCTTAACTCTCTTTTAAAGAAGTTTTTTGTTAGTGGATCAATAGTTAATTTTAAAAGGCCTTCCTTTTTTCCTAACTATGCAACCGTCTTTTCTTTATTTTCCTTGTTAAAAGCACATTTTAAAAGGGAGTTCAATATCTCAGCTATTTCTGAGGCATTATTACCTTCCCCTTGTCATTTAGTATTGTGCCTGTGGAATTTTCACTTTAGTGTATCTTTCTCATTACTATATTTATAACAGTCTTCTCATTCTGCTCTACCCTTTTGGTTAGCATTAACTCATTCTGGCTGTTTGTTGCCCTTAATTTTCCATGCAATCTTTACCTGACTGATTATTATGTTTTGGATTTCTCTCTCTTTTCCACTTCCATTAAATATCTTCTACCCAATGGAGAAATCAATTGTGCATATGTCAGTAGTCCAAGATACCCCACCCCACACTTGCTACTCAACCCTGTACCGCAGGCAACATTCACTTTGATATTCTTTATCTTTGTGTGGATTCCCCTCCTTCCCCTCCAGTTTTGCTTTATAAGTATTTGCTGGTTTTAGCTTGGCTATTTTTGTGTTTTTTTGAAGGGGTCTTTTCTCTCTCCTCTTTACTATTATTTGTGGTATATATTTAAATTTTGCTTCTTTTCTATTTGTTTTTGTTGCTTACTGTTTCCACTGTGGTGTCATTTTCCCCTCAGCCCCTCCTTTCTTCACACATTTCAGCTCTCCATTTAAAATGCCTAACTGACCTGGAGCTTCATGGTAATCGATTGGGAGCCAGTCAATAACTCGGTGCTCTCCAGGGAACTAATACATTCTGAATCATATGTTTTCTCTCCACTGATTCTCACACATCTAGCTCGCAATCTCTCTCTCTCTCTCAATACATTTTAGGAGTAGAAAAGAGCAAAAGCGAAAATAAAAACGATGAGCTGCATGGTACAAAGTTCTAGATACAATATACAAAGTAAAAATGAAAAAAAAAGTCTGCAACATATGAAAACTATATGACTAACTCAGTCCATCTGTCTGAAAGATAAGCATTATTCTATATCAGAAACTGAGAAATGTATTTGGAAGCTAAGACACTGATCCTGTAAATGACAGGATGCGGCCACATCCCTGCATCTGCATGGAGCCTCATTTAAGTCAATTGCAGGACCAGAGCCTAATGCCAAACAACTTTATTGAGACTACTCACATGCTTAAAGTTAGGCACTTCCTTAAGTACCTTGCTGATCAGATTCACAGTTTCTATTTAGCATTTTCATGCCTGTCATGGGTGTTGGTCATATTGTTAAAAAAACACAATCAAACAAACAAAAAAGCATTTCTGGTGTCACTGAGGGCCCAAAAGGTGTACATTTTTGTTTCATTAGCAGTAGGCTCCAAAACTACCAACTGTAATTTAAATATGTAACTCCCAAATACACAGTAAAGTTAATTCAGGTTCAGCAGGGCTTCTTGCCTTTCAGACTGGTAAGATGAGCAAAATGGGTGCAGTTTTCTTTTTGGCAAGAAGAAGAATTAAAACGGAAGTCCACGCTACTGGTAAAACTCACCCCTGTGCAAAAGGTCCTGTGTATCAGTAAAATCCTTCTTACACTTCCAACTCTAGGTTTAAGTGAAATTAAAGCAGTATACAGAAGTTTGTGTAGGCCTTCAGTAAAGGGGTGAGCTGCATCCACTGTGAATAGTGGAGGGCTGATAACTTTGAAAGTCTGCAGGAATCCCAACCCAAATTGAACACTTAATATATATTGTTTAATTTGCAGCTATTTTTTCAAATGATTGTAACCAGCCAATCCTGTCCCAGCAGGAAAAAAAACAAACGTAACTTCTCCCCATAAACTCAGATTCTTTTCCTTTTTATACAAATCTATTGTCAGAAAATTTAAACTGTTTCATCCTAAATGTCTCTAAAGGATCATTGATAATAAATATAACTAATGTTTTCTAATATGATCTAATGAATTTTTAATGTTCATACCAATTTAATGTAATCAATCTCTTTGTATCCCAATGCTGATTGAAGCACAATTAGGGTAAGAAAGCCATATAAAGATAGTTAATTACCTCTATTTTTAGGATTTGATTGTTCTATCAAAATAATAAGGGAAGCTAAAAATAAGTGGCATGTCTATGAGATTTTCATATATCAATATATTTAAAAAAAAAATTGTGAGCCTGGGTTCTAATGATTGTTTAACTTTTTCCAAAGGAGTGAAAATTAGGGCATATATTTTAAAATCTGTTTAGTTTAGACATATTTAGAGATAAACAGCTTCTTCATAGACTTCCTACCTAAAATCGTCAGTATGAGAAGACACATAATAAATTATATATTAAATGATTATTTAAAAAAGTATATATACAATTAAATAAGCCAATAGATGGAGCAAACAGATTTTAAAATAGATAACTAAGGACCAAGCCTGCACTTGCTATCACGGGTAGCCTCTTACAGCCATGAGTAGTCCCACTGACACCAGTGGTACTACTCACAGTAGGCAACTCTATTGCCACTAGTTCATGAAAGCATCTAAGAACATACTTAAGTTCATCCATATTCAGGGAAAAAAGACTTGAGAATATCTTGAACTAAGCATATACTTACATTCC